ATTCGAATTGCGTAATGCGCTCTCTCACGCGAAAGGGTCTAGGATTAGAAGGGCTCCTCTACTATCAGTGCCACAAAGTGCCGCCAGGTCTTCGCTGTACGGTGCGTGCCGGAGCTTCTCGCGTCGGCGACCGCCACGTTGGACGGCGCCGGGCCTCTGTGCGGTCTATGCAGAGTGTTGGAATGGAGCGGTAGGCGACTGCGGACCTGTTTGGCTCAGCCGACGCTGCGGCCATCTACCAGCGCATCGGCGCGACCATCACTTTCGCCTCGCCCCTCGGCGCCGCCGTGTGCACGCGCTTGCGCGATGGCGCCTATGCGCAGCACGCAGCGGCGCTGACCGAGCTGTGTGACGAGGCCACTTTCGCCGCCACGTTCGGCGCGGAGCCTCGCCCGGCTCGCCCACGGCCCAGCCCCGCTCGCCACACAGTCAAGTGACCTCGCAACACTGTCACGCAGGCGCGCCGCCCGCCGCGCTGGAGCAGCTGCTGGCCTCCAAGGCGGTGACGCTGCCGCTGCTGCTGCACATCGCGCCGGAGGGAACGCCCGACCCGACTCCGCTGCTGTACGACGGCGCATTCTGCGCGCTCGGGAGCTGCGCGGCGCTCGCGTGCGCGTGCAACGGCGCCGCCTTTGCGCTGCCTCGGCCTTACGGGGGCTCCCGTAGGGAGATCTGCCGCAGATGATATCTGGATTCTGCACTAGTGTCTGGTTATACACGCAATACAGAGTGTGCTGCTCTTGTCTAGAGTCTACTACACGTAAACTAGGCTTGGAGCCTGTGGAAGGGTGTCGCTGGAATATGCGTCCGTCCATGTTATTCACAGACCTTTTGTTAAAGCAAACCGTACTATCTACTTTTTCGCGCACACGAACAGCTCTCTGTCTCTCACAGGTTGGGTAGCGCGGCATCGGCGCGGTCAACGATTGTCACCGTCAGCGGGTCCTGAGTTTTTGCTGGGCGGAGGTTCGCTGATGAGGAAAGTCATTTCCACCGCCGCTTGAACACCTCGAAGATCCGCGTGAACACCTCGAAGATCTACCGGCGCCCGCTTGAACACCTCGAAGATCCGCGTCGATCATGGCGCTGGAGCCATCATGGACGCTCGTGGACTCGGCGGGCGTCGTCCACGTGGTCGCGGGCAGGTCCGCGCTGTCGCAGATGTTCGGCAAGAACACCAAACCGACCTACAACAACATGCTCGAGCTGGTCGGCGAGGGTTCGCGAGGCGTCGTTGGCTACCTTTGCAAGGACGGCTGGCGGATGCTGCGCGAGCTACCGTGGCTGCAGCACAAGGAGAGCAAGCGGATCGTGCCCGTCGTCGGCTCGGCCGCCCAGTTCCTTCAACGTGCAGCAGCCGATGCCGACATGGCGGGCTTCATCTTGAACGGCAAGGCTAGCCAACCCTTCACTCGACTGATCGCACGGCCCGGCGCCAGCGGCATGCGATGGACCGGCGCCGGCTGACCGACTGCACTTCGCGCCGCCGGCGGCTCTCCTGCTCGAGCACGGCGCCAACGTCAACTCGGTGCAGCACTCGACTCTGGGGCCTCTCGTGCCTCTCGTGCCCTTCCAGGTGCGTGCCCGCCGCCCGCCGCCCGCCCACGTGCGCGCACGCGCGCGCTCGTCCTGTGTCGCCTCGCCCCTCCTCGCTCCCCTCTGCCCCACGCCACGCTCCCCCCCCCTACTGTCCGGCAGGTGCCGCAGCCGGCGGGCGTTGCCGGCGTGCTCGGCGGCGCGCCCGCGCCCTTTGCCCCGCCGCCCCAGGTATCCCCCTCCCCGCCGCACCGCCCCCTTCCTCTCGTTGCATACACATTGGAAGAGTCCGGTA